CTGCTGCTGCTGCTGCTGCTGCTGCTGCTGCTGCTATTGTTGTTGAGCTCTCAGTTCTGAAGAATATGTGTCGTTGATCCCCCCTCACTGGTGCATGCTGTTTTTTCTCAGTCAAAGTGCGCCCCTCGACGCTCGCACCCTGTTTTTTGACAGGGAAAGTCTTGATCCTCAAACTGCGTAGTTGCCCCCCCGGATTACAACAACAACGGCTCCCGCTTGAGACTTCCTCACAATTTACTCATGACCCCCGCTCCCGCCTGAGACTTCCTCACAATTTACTCAGGATCGGCGCTCCCGCTCGATATTTTTTTCGCAATTTACTCAGGACCCCCGCTCCCGCCTGAGATTTCCGCACAATTTACTCAAGGAGCGGCGCTCCCGCTTGGGACCTCCCGCGCAACTGAACTACGTTGAACTCTCATAACGGCGCTCCCGCTTGGGACTTCCTTCAAATTCTCACTCCTGAAGAACAATTATTGTTATCGTACGCGCCTCTCCGAGGGAATAGAGCTCAGAAGCGCTCCGTTATTGCATATAGCTGATCACATTCCCGCACGCGCGAATCCCAGCAGTATTGATGACATGGGGCTCCGAGTTCACCTCCCGCGGGGCCGGTGGGCAATGACACTGTCCACTGCCGTATCTCGGTTTCCTGCACGCAGTGACCCCAGCGTTATGGCTAATGAAATGGGGTCTCAGCGTGGATTGCCGCTGATATCTGCTTGCGACAAGTAACCATGGGGCCTCACCGACAAGTGCCAGAGCTCGCTGCCTCTGATTGCGGGTTCGCCTCCCGCGCTTCTCCAATTATACGTGGCCGGGAAGAAATACACCCCCCAAGAGGGGCACGATCGAAGACGAAGAGGGCGGGTATCCAGGGTTCGGGATATGCATAGTGAATGACACGCGGGCAGATAAGAGCGAGCAGTCTTATAATGATTGTTGTTGTTGTTGTTGTTGCTGTTGTTGTTGTTGTTGTTGTTGTTGTTGTTGTCCGTTGTCGTCGTCCCACCCGCGACCCACCCGCGCCCCGCCCCGCGACCCGCCCCGCGACCCACCCCGCGACCCACCCCGCGACCCGCCCGCGACCCACCCGTCGACCCACCCGCGACTCACCCGCGACCCACCCGCGACCCACCCCGCGACCCACCCGCGACCCACCCCGCCACCCACCCGCGACCCACCCGCGACCCACCCCCCGCGACCCACCCGCGACCCACCCCGCGAACGGGGGAAAAACCACCCGGACCCGACAATTAATCGTCTTTAACTAAAACGGCCCTCGGCGTTGACTAAACAGCCGTGCCCTTTTCAATTCGTTCTTTGTGTGCTTTTAATAAACGGCTTCGCCTTTCAACGACCCACCCGTGATCCATCCTCCCCGCGACCCACCCGCGACCTATCCACATTAGTTTGACGAAAAACTCGGCGCTCGCTGCGGGCTCATTGTATAATTTGTTAAACTTTGGCGCTTGCGGCGGGCTTTTCCGGAGTCTCGCAAACTGCCGACGCCCCCACCGCCCCCTCACTCTTATCCGCATCTGCTGGGTAAGCGTTCGGAGGCCCGCGGGGAGCTCCGAAAGTTTATGCTTCTGGAGTTTACTCTTCTCAGCTAGCTCGGCACCGTTTCGCCGAGGCGTGCCACCAGCGACGCCAACGCAGCGAGCCCAGGCCAGGTGGACAGGGCGGAAGCGCAATGTTCAGCCCGAGGTCCGCCCGCCTGCTGAGGCCCCAGGCGCGGCGCCAGGAGCCCTCCGCACCCGTGGCTCGTCGCCGCCTGCGCGCGGGGGGGCCACCGTAGATCCTGCTGCCTCAGGGATTCCCCGGTGGGCACAGCCTTTGTCGCGGCTAACGCGGTGTGGGCCTAGTCAAGAGTCTGTAGCACGATCAGGAAGGCGTCCGCAACACTTGGCACATGGATGCGCAGCCAGGGCGGGATCAGCTACTCCGACCCCTCACGCCGCGCCTCAGCCACCCTGGAAGCCCTCCTCGAAGCTCGGCTGCCCGTTCCGTCCTCGTCAGGAGGAGTGACGGGGCAGGCAGCCAACGTGAGACCAACGCGAAGTGCCCTCATCACGGTGGTGACCGCCACCGTGGCGCAAGCCTCCCCCCCCACCCCGGGGCCCCCCCTTTTTCCCTCAACGGCCGCGCTGCTCTGCGCGGACGCCGCCCCACGCGTGGGCCGATCCAATCCCGGCCTTTGCCCAGCCTCCACGCGGGGTCCTGCTCAGCCGGGCGGGGCAACCTTCCTGCATTCTTATCATTCCCGCTCTCGGGTGGCCCCCCGCCGCCCCGCCTCCGCTGCCCGGCCTCTTCGGTGGAAGCCCGCCTGTGGCGCCGCCGCCCCGCTGCCGCAGACGCTGGGCATGGAGACGCCGTCTATCGGTCGGGGTCTGCTGGCCTTTGGGCCGCTCCCGGTCTCCTCTCGTGGCATGCCGCTATTGGCGGCCCTGCTTACCCCCGCGTTGGCTGTTGTTCCTGCTGTTGCTGTCTCGACTGCTGCGATCGGCCGGGGTATGGGTGGTTCCGCCCCTTTCCATTCTGCCCGGCTGCCCGGCGTTTGCTTCTTCGCCTCCCCCGCCAGCGGATGACCCTCTTCTACTGCGTGGACGTTGCGTCGAGGTCATGGGGGCACGGTTGGTGTTGCCATTTCCACAGCGTTTCCCCGTAGGTCCCTCCGCGCGCTACCCGTAGGTCCTTCCGTGGGCGCGGGTGGCTTGCTATTTTCTTGGCTCTTCTCTTTCCCTGCTCCTTGCCATCCCACGATGCCTGCGGTTAGGCGGCTGCCCGAAGTCGCGCGCGATTTCTGAGCAACTAGCGTGTGCGTAGTTCTCGTCTTTTGTTTCAACTGGTTATCCTAGCCGTCATCCTCGTCGTCCTCTCCCTCGTCTCAGTTCCCTCGTCGTTCCCGTCGCCCCAGTGGGCGTGGGCAGGCTCGCTGCCACCAGCCACCGCTGCTCTCCTCTTGTCCTCCCCTTCTCTCTCCCATTTTTCTTGGAGATAGTTTATCGCGTTGGCCTGGCAATTTGTGGATCCGCAACCGTTGGATCAGTCCAGCCGCGCGAGCCGGGGGTTCGCCCATGGAGTGGACGAGGGCCGCCGCGGCGGACGCAGGCGGCTTGGCGCGCCTGGGGAGCCTCTGGCACGGCCAGCGGTACACTTGCCAGGTGGACCTCGGCGAGGGGTTCTCGGTGGACCGCGAGTTGCTACGCCTGCTGGAGGGGCAGCTGCAGCGGTGCGGCCCCGCCAACCTCACGGCCCCCGCGCCGCGCGCGCCGCCAATTCTCGGGCTACCAGGGCCTGGTGGTGCTGCTGGTCGCGGTGCTGGCGTTTGTGGCGGGCTTCTGCGCCGCGGCGACCTGCTGCTGGTGGTGGCTGCACCGCGGGGAGGCGGCCGTGACAGCATCTGCCTGCCTGAGGTTCCCGATGGCCGCTCCTTTTCGTCAGGGCCAGCGGATGCTCGTGTCCTACGACGTGGACCCGCACGAGCTGCTGTGGCATGAGCGGTTCCTGTGCGCGCGCGTGCACGAGGGCGCGTGGGTGGTCGCCACCTCGGAGCGCGACATGTACCTGGAGGACCTCCAGGATGGGGACCGAGAGTCAGGTGCTGCTTGGCCCGATGGGCGGGCTGCCGATCGGCGGGGGCCGCGGGCCGACGCACATGTTCCGCGGCTCGTCGCAAGTCCCGCTGCGTCGCGCGGAGAGTTTGCGCCTGCAGGCGGGGGGCGCGGAGCTGGCGGAGCAGGGGCGGCGCGACCCGGGCCTGGGCGCTGTTCGGCCGTTGCCCCACCCAGCAGGCGCGCCGCTGCCGCTGGCGCTGGAAGGCGAGCCGCCGGCTGAAGAGGGGGGGCGGCGCTACTCCGAGAGCCGCGGCGAGGCGCGCGTGGGCGAGCGCGTGGGCGCCGCGGAGCTGGAAGCTTGGCGTCGTCGCGGCGATCGCGAAGTAGTCCAGGTGGGGGGCCTTTTTGTCGCGAGCTCCTTCTCCAGGCCAGGCGATCAGATGCCGACGCCTAGAGGAGGGGCCGCGATAGAGGAGCCGCCCAGTGAACTGCGGGCGCCCCCCGTGAAGCGCGAGAAGTCGAGCCGGCGGCGCCGCTCATGCAAGGAGGCCGCGTCGCTCACCGCGACCACGGCTTTCGATGATTGGCCGATCAGCGGGCCGCGGACGGCGGAGCGGCTCGCCCGCGAGATCGGCCGCCAGGAGCTGACACCGGTGCGGAGGCACTTCTGGTGGCGGCAGCCGCGGGCTCGGGCCCCGGCGATTGGGGCGTCGGAGAGCGCGAGGCCCTCAGCCGGCTCTTCGAGTGCGCCCTGACGCACGACCAGCACAACTTCGGCGAGTTGGCCTCTCTAGGGCTCGCGGGGCGTCGCTGCCAGCTGCTGGAGGAGAGGCGCGCCCGGGCGCCGGCGTCGGCGACGGCGGGCGGTGACAGCGGCCAACTCGACAACGACAGGCTCTCCGTGGCCGCGCTCTGGTGGCGCCAGCGCTGGAGACCTGGATCTCGCAGCAGCTGTCGGAGGAGAGCGCCGCGCTCAAAGGGGCGCCGCAAAGCGATGGGGGAGCGGCAACTGGCTTGCTCGACAGACGCGACCCCCGGCGCCTCAAGCGGGCCGAGCGACGACAGGCCCCCCAAGAACCCGCGCAAGAAAGGCGGCGGGCAGGGGGGGGGCTGCTTGAGCTGCCTCAGACGACGGAGGCCCCCGGCCGTCGCCCCAGCTGCATAGGGAAGGGCTACTCGCTTGAGAAGGATGGCGAGCCGCCTTGGCGTTGCAGGTGAGGGGCTTGACTGGGCTCGCGATTTGCTGCTGCTGCCATCTGGTCGCTGCCTGGCTGATCTCCTGGAGGGTGCATCGCCGGCTGGGCCGGGGGTTTCGCGCTGCGCGGATCGGCGGCGCCCGCGCCGACGGGCTGCGGAGGCGCGGCGGCGTCGCGACGCTCAACGCTCTGGGCGGGCGCGGTGAGGTGCGGGGCCCCAGAGCGATGCCTGGCGCCATGCCAGGCGGTGGCCAGCTTGGCCAGGGCCTACTACTCCGTGCCGCCGCCGCCCGACGACCTCACCACCTCGGGGGCGCGGTCTGCGTTTCGGGGCTGCGGGCCCGGCTACGCCTGTGATGGCGTCGTCGCTGGAGAGTTCGCAGCCTACCAGCGTGGCCGGCTTGCCCTGCCGGCGGTCGGCATATGGGCGATCGACCTCGCCGGCTGCCTGCCCGACCACTACCAGAAGTTGCTGGGGGATAAAAAACCTCGCCATTCGGCTACCAGCAGCGCGTGCACAGGACGGCGCGGCGAAGGCGGACGAGCTGGACATCGCGATGGATCCCATCCTGGCGAGGTCTCCGAGCAAGTTCGCCGAATTTTGAACAGTGCTTATGAATCTGGAGTCGTCGCATTGGCGACCGAGGTTAGCACTTTTGTGGGAGTCTTCTTTGTTCGCAAGAAGGACGGCTCGTTGCGGATCATCTCCGGTCAACGGAAGACCAGCGCGCAGTCCGCGTCGCCCGACGGGGTCGCCCTGACCTCGCCCGAGGCCCTCGGCGATCTGGAGCTGCCAGCTGGTCGATGGTTGTGGGTCAACGAAGGGGTCGTCGAGAACTTCTGCAACCAGTTCCTGCTGCCTGTCGGCCTGCGCGCCGACTTCGCGCCGCCGGCGGTGCCGCGGCGGGCGCTGCCGCGGCGCTTGCGCGGCCTGTTTCCTGCAGGCGCCGAGCGGGAGGCGCCGATGGGCTGGAATTGGGCCGTGGAGCTCGCGCAGGCGGCGAATGCGGAGGTGCTGCGGTTGGGGCCGCTGGGCTCTCGACGCTGGATCTGCAGTCGCCGCTGCGCGCCCGCCTTCGCTGGGCGCGAGCCCGCTGCTCTCCTGCGCATCGACGACTTCGCCTCGGTGGGGGCCGAGAAGGAGACAGTCCAGGTTGATGGCGACTCGACGGAGAGGCAGCTGAGGGGTCGTGGCCCGGCTACTCATGAAGTCTCCGGGCCGCAAGTCGACGCAGACCTCCTGGGCTTCCACGTCGACGGAGAGATAGGCGCGATCCACATCGCGCCCAAGCGGTTCTGGCGACTGGTCCTGAGTCTGGACTACATCCCGACGCATCCACTCCTGTCAGGGACCGAGCTGGAGCGACTGATCGGGCACCTGATTTACGTCCTCTTGCTGCGGCATGAGGTGCTCAGCTTGGCGTCTTCATCAGCAAGTGCTGCGCTCGCCGAGCGCGGCCCTGGCCTTCGGCGCGCCGGGGGCTGTCCTGGGCGCGGGCGCTGCTGCCGCTGGCGTGGGCCGATTTGCGCGGCACCTGGGCGCCTAGCGCAATGGGCGCGCCCCTGACGGGCCTGGGCGCTGTGGGGCGCGCGGCCGCCCCCGCCGAGGTGGGCCGCATCGGGCGCGCGCGCGAGCGCTGGCGGTTCAAGGGGCGCGAGCTGGTGGCCGAGGGCTCGAGGGCGCGCGCCTTGCGAGAGGGCGCCATGGGCGACTTTGTGTCCCCCGACGTGCCCGCCGAGTTCTGCGAGCCACCTCTGTGGAAGACCGTGGCTTCGAGGCGTTGGCGGCGCAAGGCTCCGATCCATCTCCTGGAGGGCGTGGCGCTTCTCTGGGCGATGCGGAGGCAGGTGCGCCGGGTGGCGCATCGCGGCTGCAGGCTTGTCTCTTTGTTCGATAGTTTGTGTATTTGTTGTGCAGTTGCAGTTGTGCAGTTGCAAACGGACGAGCCTCGGACTTCCCCATTCTTTCTCAGTTGCGCCACCTTGCCGCACTTCAGCTTGCTTCATCGTGCCGAGTCTCAGTTCGTTGGATCCCCTCCGAATGGAACCCCTCCGGCGGCCCTTCCATGCAGGCGGTTCGAGCCTCGCCGTTTGCGGGGCGATGGAACGCCGAACGCTCCTGGCGGCCGCGCCGATGGGGCCGCCGCCGCTGGCCTCGAGCGCGCCCGCGGGCAGCCGCCGACTCGCGGCCGCGCCGCCGGGCGCCCCGCTGGCGAGGGCCCGCGCCGGGCGCCGAGGCACCGCGGCCGAGTCGCCCGCCGCGACAGCCTTGCCGTGGCACCGCCTCCCGGGCTCGAGCGCCTCGGGCTTGGGGGTGGGGGCGGTGGGGCCGTCGACGCAGCAGAACTACTTGGCTGCCTCAGTGGCCCTTGCAGCTGGCTGGGGCTGGGGGCCCTGCACAACTGGAGCACGCTGGAGCGGGGCGACGCGCGGCCGCAGTAACCGAACGACGAGTTCTCGGAAGGTCCGCGGCCCGACAGGGCGGCGAAACTGCTGTCGGCGGTGCCGCGGGCGAGGCTGGCGCTGGGGCGACCCCGGCGGGTGGCGCTGCCGCGGGGCAGCCGAGCGCTGCTGGGCTGGGGGCACAGGCGGCGGGGCCACTCGCGACCGCCGCTCCCCTTACTCGCCTTGCGCGGAGTCATGGAAATCTTGCTGCTGAAGGGCCAGGTGGCGATTGCGCGCGCTCTCGGCCTCACGTTCCACTGCTACCCGCGACCAGGCGAGCTGCTGGCCATGAAGGTGTTTCAGCTGGTGGCGCCCGCTCAGGGCCTGCAAGGCGGGTTCCGCCGGTGGGCGCCGCTGCTGCATCCCGAGGAGCTGCTGGTGCCCAGCAAGACAGGCGAGCTGGGCGACTCGCTGCCGCTGGGCGCCCCCGAGAGGAGGCTCACGCCGGCGCTGAGCGAGCTCGAGGCGCGGCTGGAGCCCCGCGCGCCGCTGTGGAGTTTCGGCCACGCGCAGCTGCGCGCGGAGTCCGAGGAGGCAATGGCGGCGCGGGGCCCGCAAGACCTTGGCGCCACGCTGTGCTGCTTGAGGCGCGGCGGGGCCAGTCACGACAGGATCGCGGGGCGCAGGTCGCTGGAGGAGGTGGCCAAGCGCGGCCGCTGGCGGGCCCGGCTCTCGGTCAGATAATACGAGAAGCACGGCCGCCTGGCGCTGCAGGCGGCGAAGGTGCCGCCCGTGGCGCAGCAGCGGTTGCGCCTGAGCACGCAGCGGCTGCCCAGCCTGTTCCGGTTCAGCTCCATGCGATTATTTGCCGAGTGCTGGGCAGGGGGCGGATCGCCGTCGAAGTCTTCTCGGGCTCGGGTAGGCTCGCCGCCGCGCTGCGGGCCAGAGGCGTCGCCGCGCTGGAATGGGGCACCATTCGAGGGGCGAAGTTTGATCTCGCCAAGGCGGCCAGCCTAGAGACTCTACAAGGTTGGATTCTGAGTGGGGGAGTGAGCATCGTGTGGCTAGGAACACCTTGCACGTCTTTCTCGATGGCCCGCAGGTTCACAAAGTCTGGGCCAGGACCTTTGCGGCCCAAGGAGTTGCCTCTAGGCCGTCCGAGTTTGTATGTGGCCGATCGTTCTAGGATGCAGTTTGGTAACAAGTCGGTGCAAGCCTCCGCGACGCTCGCTAGGTTAGCCCATAAACGTGAGATCCCTGGAGGGCTCGAGAATCTGGTTGTTTCTAGGCTTTGGCTTTGTCCGCTAGTTTTTGGTCTCACTCGGCTCACCAGCTTTCGGGGCGTCTTCGCAGACTTCTGTATGTGGGGTGAGCCGTGGCGAACAGCGCACACGGCTTCGCCTCTGGCACGTCTCTTCGGATCGTCTCGGGCGAAAGTGCCATGGAAAAAAGGGATCTGCGAGCGATCTGGGCGCACGCGCCAGGCTCTCGAGGGCAGGGCCCCTGGAGGCCAGTTCTGGACGGCCGTGGCGCAGCCGTATCCGCAGCTCCCGCGCAAGGCTATTCCTAAATCCTTTGTAAACGCCTCCTGTGATAGTAGATTGACGCGGTTGTGGGGCAGTCGTAAGTGCTAGCGGTATAACCAGCGCGCTCATGAAGTTGGCCGTTTGGATGGCCAAGAGTTTTTTGTTTGTTGAATGCCGCCAGGTTCTATGTACCGTTGCTGCCGAGGCTCCTCGGCCTTGCGCCCTCTCAAGCTTGTGTTGGGGAAAATTAGAAGGCCTCGGAGATAGTTTATCGCGTTGGCTTGGCAATTTGTGGATCCGCAGCCGCTGGATCAATCCAGCCGCGCGAGCCTCCCAACCCTCCCTCCCGTGTCTGCTCTCTTGTCTTCGATTCCCACACGACTTCACGAATGGAACAAGCCATGAATTTTTTGCTTGTTGAATGCCGCCGGGTTCTATGTACCGTTGCTGCCGAGGCTCCTCGGCCTTGCGCCCTCTCAAGCTTGCGCTGGAGAAAAATAGAAGGCCTGATTGTTCCACGCTCTCTTCTCCCTGCGTCCCATTTCATAATCCTCCCCGTTCTACCCCCCGCCCCTCACTGCTCTGAACCTCGTCGATATTGTCGTCGTTCACGGGGGTAGTAGGTTCATGACACGATTCATAGCCACCGGTTCAGGCTACCCTTACTCGCCCTCCTCCCTTTCGTGATCGTCATGTTTGTTGCCCTTCTCTTCTTCCTCCTCCTCCTCCCTGATGCTCTCCCCCCGCCCCCCCGCCTCCTCACCTCTTCCTCGTCGCCCTCCTTCTCCTAGTTTGCATATCCGTCGCGTGCTCGTCCTTGTCGCTCTCGGAGGCGGCAGAGTCGCGGCCACCAACCCCGGTTATTTTGCCTTTTCGTCCAATCCCACCAGGAGCTCATACCTGGATCGGCTTAAGCGGGGGATTGCACCTAAGGTGTTGAGTGCGGCCGAACAATCAGCACGTCAGCAAGCCACAGGGAAGTTCACTTTCATTGTCATCGTCATGTCGCTATTCTTTATACTCCTCTTCTCCGCCTCCTCCCGTTCTCGCATCATTGTCGTGCTCGTCGAGGGGTGACGCCGAAAGTCTCCCATGCGGGGGGGAATTCCTTCCCGCGTTGCCACAGAAACCTCAAATTGAGCGTCGCTCATCCACAGTATTAAATGGGTACCCTGACTCATCGTTTTCCTTTTTCATTGTTGTTCTCCTCCTCCTCCCACTTGTTTTCGGACTGGGCGTCCTCCTCCTCCTCGTCCTCCTCCGCGTCTTCGCTCTCGTCCGTCTCGTCCCTCTGCGTGGACGTCCTCCTTTCCTCCTCGTCCCTCTGCGTTGACGTCCTCCTTCCCTCCTCGTCCCTCTGGGCGGCTTCGACCAAGGAGGGAGTCGGATGGCCCGCCGCCGTTCCGGCTGGAGGCTTGCTGTGTTTTTGTTTTTGCCTCCCGGATATGTATTCTCTTGCGCCGATGGATGATCAGCATCGCGCGGTGTCTGTACACCCGTCCTCGCCTCCTACTCACTCTCTTGACGCTTGACGCAGGGATGCCCTCTAGTGTTATAGCATGATGCTTGCACTTTACATGGCTACTCTTATTCCTCCTCATGGTTTCCCTCCGCATCCGCATCCTGCCCGTTATCACCTTCTCCCCCATGAGCTCGTGGCAACAGGGACGCAGATGGAGGACGGAGGGAGAGTAAATGGGAGACGGACGGAAGGGAAAGAAGGCAAGGAGGATGAGCAGAAGGAGGAGAGGCCACCACGGCTCCTTGCATCCCTCTCGGGAGCCTCCCTTGAGTTTCTTGGGAGCCCCCCATGGCCCTGAAGGAACCTCCAATGAAAGGCGATGTTGGATGTACCAACGTATCTGCGCGCGGAGGATTCTTGCCGTTGCGATGATGTCTTGGATATTCTGACCTATCTGCGCCTAGCGGTCCCTGCTACTCTACGGGTGATTTGGGGTGTATTGGCCGTTCCGCGCGTGTACGCCTCCAGCATGTGGATGACTCTGAGTAGACCGGCACATCGGGACCCCGAGGCCTCATATGATGTTGATGATTCTGATGATGTTGATAATTATGATTCTGATGATGTTGATAATGATGATGATGCTGCTGCTGATGATGATGATGATGATGATGCTGATGATGATGATGATGATGTTAATCATGGTGTTGATGATTATGATAACGATGGTGGTGTTGAGGATGAGGATGAGGATGAGGATGAGGATCATGTTCAGGATGAGGATGATGATGAGGATGATGTTGATAATGATGTTGATGATTATGTTGATCTTGATGAAGTGTATGATAATGATGATGATGATGTTGATGATGCTATGAGGATGATGCTGATGCCGATGCTGTTCATGATTATGGTTATGATGATGATGCTGATGCTGTTGCTGATGCTGATGCTGATGCTGATGCTGATGCTGATGCTGATGATGGTGATGGTGATGGTGATGGTGATGATGATGATGATGATGATGATGATGATGATGATGATGATGATGATGATGATGATGATGATGATGATGATGATGATGATGATGATGATGATTAATGTTGTTTGCGTGCGTTGGCTGATCCGTCTTGCACGATTCGGGTGCGTTGCGCAAGTAGCGTGCAGCGGCGCGCGCAATACTGAGCGAGCCGCGAATTGGGAGCTGCGTCTCTTCGCACGAATCAGGTCCGCCCGCTCGCGGGGATCGCAAAGTCCGCGAGAGCGCAACAGTCGTTAGGCAAGGGGATGGTTTCCTAGGGGGCGGTCAGGCCGCGCACGAAGATACATCATGGGCCTCGAATTATAAGTATGTGCGTATGTGTATCTATGTATATAGTGGCCCTCGGCCCATCCCGCTAAGGTGCCAGGGTTGTAGGTCAGAGTTCTCAGGGATGCTTCTTGGGGTTACTTCGGAGCGCCGTCGGGGGCCTCTTGGGGGCAGTTTGGGGGCCTCTTGGGGGCATCCTGGGGCCTGTTGGGAGCCTCTTGGGGCCTCTTAGAGGTCTCTGGGGGCCCCTTGGGGCTCTTGGGGCCTCCTGGAGGCCTCTCGGGGCCGAGGGTTCGAAATGTCAGTTCGCCCCCCCCCCCATCTGGAACCCTTCTTGGAGCAGTCTTTGCGCTCCCTTCAACCGCCTTGGGCGCCTCTTGAGCCGTCTTTGGGGCCTTTTGGGCCGTCTTGGGGCCTCCTTGGGGGCCCCTGGGGCCGTTAGGGCGAGCTTGGTGGCCTTCTGGGCAGGCTTGGAACGTTGGAAAGCCCCATAGACGAAAACTCCCAAATCTTTTTAAAAAGCACCGGCAATCTATGATGTTGGCCTCTCGGGGCCCTCTTGTTAGGCCTCTTGGGCGTCTTGGCGGCCTCTTGGGCCGTCTTGGGGCCGCATTGGGCGTCTTGGGGCGATCGTTCGGCGATTCGGGGCCCTCTTAGACCGTCTAGGCGGCCTCTTGGGGCCTTTTTGGGGCCCGTGTTGTGTCCGAAAGAATCATGCGACAAGACGCGAGGAACCCAAGGGTACACGACAGGCCCTTAGAGATTTGGCAATTCGGGGCCCGGGTCCCTAAGATATTCTTCCAGTGCACGGATTGAGGCTGAGAGGATTAGGCAAAGGACCAGGGGACACGCCCACTCCATGCCCAGAGGCACGGTGGCGGACAAATGTATATATTTGTGTGTGTGTGCGTGTGTCGCCCAAAACGCCAAAGGGCAACCCATCCAGCAGGGCGTGAAGTTTGCCAGCTTCCTCCGTGGCCCAGACCAGCAGCATTTTACTGCACCCAAGCCACAGGGATTGAAGTAACTGTTAGCAGCACTCCAGGTCGCTCTTCCCGACGCCCAGACACCACTCCGGCAATGCCTGTTGCCCCAGGAGGGAATGCACAACCCAGGAACTGCACGCACCACCATACCGACCCAGCGCACCGAAGACTACAGATTCGATGGGAGAGCAGCGACGCAAGGGCGGAAGAGCAGATGCGACCGCTTCCCCGACACCGCCCCGCTGCGCGAGTGGAAGTGCGGACAAGGGCCGCTGGGCACGTTCATCATCCGCGCCGGCGCACCCGACTCAGCATCTCTCAGCCAGGGCCTGCCGGTGTTCAGCGACTCGGTCAGCGCCTTCCTGGATTAGCAATGGGGCGCCGCTTGGTTTGCGAGCGCTGCCTGGTTGACGATTGCAACGCGCGGCCGACAGACGCGGCGCGCACTTTGACCTGGGGCGGCGCTGGGGCGTGCCCAGACTCCCCGCCCAAACGACTGCGGCCGCCACCGCCGCCAATTCCCGCTCGGAGCCCGCTGCTGGCAAAGCCTTCCACGCTTGCGCAGATGCAAAGGGCTGGATGATCCACGCGCCCGCAGACCCTCCTGGAGCCTTCAAGGGCCCCCGGCGCCAGCGACCCATGCCAAACCAGCGGGGGCCAGCCACCTGGGAAAGCCGAAGCCGAGAAAGCCCGCGTCGCCTCGCAGTCAGCGCGGAGAAGCCAGGGCCGCGCTGGCGCTGACCACGACGGCGCCGTCTGCGCAGGAGGGGCCCGCCCCCGCGCGCGCAGCCGTCCGCCCCGACCGAGGGCCAGGGGGGGCCGGCCCTGGGGCCGAGAGAGAGCGCCCTCGCAGGGGTCCGACCCTGGGTGCCATGCAGACAGGGCACTCCCAGGAAGACCGGGGGCAGGCGGAGGCCATGGGCCGATCCCCAGGGCAGCAGGGGCCGCGGCCCCCGATCACGCGGCAAGTCGCCCGCCGCATCGGCCGCCATCAGAAAGGGCAAGGAAGGGCCAGGAGACAGGCAGAGCAACCGCCGATCAGAGGACTCCGACTACACCCCGCCGCCAGACCGAGGATGGCGGCGCAGCCGCGCTCCCGGAATCGGGCCGCAAACATCGGGCCCGGCCAGGCCCGGCGCCCTGCGGGCAGGGGTCATCAATCTAGGCCCGACGAGGAGCAAGCCCGTTGGCCCGCCCCCGGCCGATGCCTCGCCGTCGCCGCAGGAATCCTTTTTGACGCCCCCGACCTGCTTCTCCCACCACGCCCTGGCCCAGCCGTCCGGGACATGGCTTCCCCGCAACCCAGCGCGCCGACCAACCCGGATTTAAAGAAGTGAAAGGAGGGCCGCGCCGTCGCCCGCGCGCTTGTCCAACGCGCCCAGACTCTACGCCGCAACGTCGCGAGGGCTTGGCGCGAGCGGGCCGACGAGCTGCAGCGGCGACGGCGGCGCCCGGGCGGGCCGCGCGGCACCCGGGGGGGGCCCTCGCGCGTGGGCGGAGGACGACTGCAAGCGTTTCCTTAGACAGCGCACACGGCCCATCGATCTTGGACAGTGGAACGCGCCCCCGGCATGGATGACGGGCTGCGCTGACGCACTCGGTCGCCAACCTTATCATGCAGACAGGGCGTGCACCAGGCAACGGCAAATTCTGCGGCGCCGATCAGTGAGCTTCTCGCCCGCGCACTGACCATCTCTGGCTTTTTCAAGACCTAGGCAGGGGCCCCAGCAAGCACAGTCAGTATCGCCTCCTCGGCTTCATTTCCTCGCAAGGGATCCAGGACTTAAGGTCTTCCGTGCTGGGGCGCCGCGCTCTATGTGCCGACGCCGATCTCGGTGCGGAATTAATTCGCCGCAATTAAGGGCGGGCCCTCTGGCCGAGCGTCGCAGCTCTGCCCTGGCCAGAGGCGCCCGACGCGATCCCCCCCTGGGAAAGGCCAGCAACTCAGCCGGGGGCCCGCGGCCGCTGAGCGCGGGGCTCGCGCCGACAACCTTGCTGCTCGCGGCCTCGGCCATGCTCGAGTAGATCGCGCAGCCGCGCCGCCGTTGCCCGCGCGCGCGGTCCCGGAGGTCGATTGCTCGCCCGACGCCGAGACCATAGGCCAGGGTCCACATCAAGACCCCAGCGCCGAAGCTCACCCAGACCATCAGGCCCAGGCAGCGGCCGGCGACCCGACCCTGAGCACCCCCGGCAGACCGGGGCGACGCGAGCCAACCCTGGGGCCAGTTTGCAAGGGGAGGGGGTGCTCTTCATCTACATGCGCGCCCAGACCGCGCCGGCCCAGCAGTGCCCAAGCGGCGCGGGGCCCCGCGGCCCGAGCCCTGTTGCGCCCGCCACCGCGACCCACAGGATTCGCAATGCATCCGACCCCGTCGGGTAATCAACTGGCGCCGCGCGTGGAACTGCAGTGCCAACAACTGGGCGACCTGGCCGGAGGTCGTCAACAGGGTACGGATGGGCCGCGGCGCTTTCGACTGCTGGGGCGCTCTCTGACCTGCCAGGGGGCAACCGACCAGGAAGAAGAGGGAGTTGGAGCCCAGACGGGCGCGACCCCTTCTGCCGGGATTTCCTGTTTCAGGTGTATAATGGAGATTTTGACGTCTGCGGGTCTGCAGAACACGAGGTGCCCGCGTGGACAGGAACGCCGTCTGGGAAA